CCACACGCTGAAATATCTTCTAGAAAAGACTGTCGCGAAATCCAGCCGTGTGTGGTACAGTACCAACATTGTTCGTTCGCGTTTGTAATGCGTACGTCGTGCGTACGGACTCTGTGCATTGCTGTGCACGGCACGCGAGCAGTGAGTATCTCCCGCCGACGCACCGCACCAACCTACTGATCGCGCGTAGATGCACAAGACCAACCCCATTTTATGATGAAGCCTTCGTCGCCCCACGCTACGACACTACACTACGGCAGTACGGTAGTACCATGTCCTAGGTTGCAGTCGCTCTCACAGCTGCTGCTGTGCTTGTTCTCTTCACCTCATCGATGATTGTCCTATAGTAACCTCGTACCAGGTACTGCTACAGTAGATCTAGGCACGACCTCGCTTCTCCCCTGTGGTTTGTACATTTTAGACCACGTAGCTCCCAGAAAATGAGAATTTCTGTCGTCACAAGCTAAGAACCCAACGAGGCCTCTTATTTGTGTGCATATGCGTGCACGAAAAAAATAGATACAATCTCACCTGCCAGAGCCCGCCGGGGATATTGCTGGCGTCGTCCGTAGGACGGCATTCGGGGGACAGAGCAGATATTAGGATAGTGTCAGAGACGGGGCGTTCTCTGCTGCTTCAATCGCTCTGAAGCTGGACCACAAAACGTTTGAGTATTATGTTGCACCTGAGGTGCATGGTGGTACTGCTGTACATACATTTTCGTGCTGTTTTTTTTTTTTCCTTAAATACTACCATGGTACTTCTATATGGTAGGGCATATGGGTATGTACAGGCGCGCCACAAGAACCTCTTGTTTCGGCCGAAGTTCGTTTCTTTTTCGTCTACGAGGTAACTGCAACAGCGACAAGTCCGGTGTTTGTGCAATGTATGGGCATCTCGACCGACCACCTGCTCAAGTCCTTAAAGGTCGTTCATTTTGAGATTGAAATTCTTACGGCTACCCCCGGTACCCCAAGTTTTAGAAATGTAAAAGGGATGGGAGTTGTTTCGAAAAAACAAAAATTGAATTTAGAGTTGGTGGTGAATGTGTTACATACACATCTTCACATGGAGGGGACGTGCAAACCAACGCGGGGAAAGCGTCTTAGAATGACGTTTCGGGCCGTAGGTCGAATCCAACCTGTGCCACATGTTGTTGGCCCGGGAAATCGCCAGCCAGCCTTTTTCCGCCTTCAAGCAAGGACGGCGGCGACACGCCGACGCACGTACATGACCCGGCAGTCGGTACAAGTACGGGCCGCTGCATGCATCTACACTCAGTATACAACCAACGTATTGAGTCGTTTCTAGCCTCCTTCTGCTGCTGTCAAGGCAACATGAGGCAGCGTGCGACGCCACTCGCACGCCACGTCGGTAGACTCTGGTCATTTCGATCAGTGTGGTTGCTGGGTGGTGAGCTGTAGCTGTCCGCAACTGGAGGGTATTTTTCTGCGTCTTTTCACCAATTTCTCTGCTGAGAGATGGTGTGAGTTTCACGCACTTCGATCTCGCGCTACAAAGCCTCTGTTAAGACAGCTAAAAGACGCTCATACGAAACGCTCATACATCTCTTGCCTTCGTTGTTGAGTGCGGTATGTGCGTAGACCTTCGTAGCTGAGTACAGTTCGTGCGTAGACCGTTTCCTCGGGGCTGGGAATCAGGGCGATGCTGGTGGGTTGAGCTTACGTGTCTTCGTTGTCTCTCCTGGATGGTATATATTTCTCATACGGTATCAAGCAAGTAGTGTTGCAGCTTGCTGACCACCATCGTGCGAATGATGACCGTAAACACGTACTGGTACATCACAAGAGCAATACGATATCAATCCGTCTACACATGTTAACATGAATTAGTAAGGCATGTGATAAACATGTAAACGGGTGATACCGTGCACTTTAACAGGTCTTTATTAACTTTCGTCCACATGGGGAGTGTTAAGTAAACACCGGGTGGGTAGCAACGTTCGCGAAAACGTGCCACGGAGCAACATGTTGAAGTTGTCTCTTCTTCGTAGATTTGGCATAACCGCCACCTCTTCGAAACCTCTAGAGGGAAAACAGGCAAGTGTCCGATACTTCGATTCCTGTTTATGACCCCCATACCCCTAGCGCCGCAACCACCGGACAGTCACTGCCCATCTAGTACTTTGTGCAGATTCTGCGCGCAGACGCCAAAACACCTCTGCGATGAAGCGTGCCACATTTTTTGTCGACAGGTTTGCTCACGCGCGTGCTTCGAAGTATGGTTTCTTGAAAAATGTGTACCTGGTTCGTTTGTGGCTCTCTTTGCTGGATATGGAGGATTGGGAGGGCAGCAGTCCGAACGAGCGCTGCCAAGGATTTTTTATCTAGGAGTTTGACTACGAAAAAAGGAAGTTGAACAGAAACACGCCATTTCGGAGACCCGGGAATAGTACCGTCCGCCGGAGCCGGGCGTCTCCTTGACTCCCAAGTTCTTCAGTGTGGGGTGGCGCGTTCTGCATGCACATTTGTTGTTTTTTTCGGAGAGATTTGTGGTAGCATTGTTGTGAAACCAGAGTACCTAGCTTCATGTAGCACACGACACAGCGGAGGGACATTCCCGATACATTCGTCCCTGACTCAGCAGGGGTGCGCCGGGAATCCAGCTCGGAGAAGTCCTCAGATAGATTGGGGGGAAAGTCCTATCACCTTTGTTTATCGTACTTGCTCGGGGGTTAGGGTTCCAACTGGCTTCCTTGAGTCGTCAGTGAATGGATGGAAGCAGGTGCACACATATCCACTATCCAGCAGGACTTGTCTTCAGTCTTCACTTCACATGTTTCAAGGTACCCTCTCTGGGGACGGATGGTCGTTCTGAGATGTGACGTGTACTTTCCAGTAACCGCCGCAGGCACGTCTACAACATCTCCGGAGAAGAAGCTGCTATTTAGAACTCCAAGACTGAGCTCCCATCAAGGGTAGACAGGTGTGTGCCCGGATAGCCTTCTCGTTGGCCATCACCGTTTATCTGTGAGGCCAAAATAGTTGTAGTAGGGCAGGGTAGGACCACGTATGTAGCATGGAGAAGGTATCCCTTGTCAAAGCTGTTTCACGCGAGAGGACCGCGGTAACAAATATTTTTTTGCCGAACTTTAACGAAACACAGCAGCGTTATTTTGGTTGGTGATGGTCCCTTCGCGAACGCTTTCGGTTTTCAGGTCGAGGAATGGTGGTGGTGATCGCACCTGTCGGAGATCGTTGTTGGAGCAATTTTACAGGTGTTGTAAGCCCTGGTTTCTCCTCAGCGATGCACTACCGCCTCTGTTGTTCAGGCTGCCCGAACCAGATTCCTGGGCGGGTCAACAAGCATGTGCTCCGATAATCTATAGCAGGCTATGGTAGGTGCTAGCCCGTTGCACGTTATAGTGCTGCTTTCTCCGATGCAATTTCCACGCAGTCCTTGGGCAGCGGGCCAACAAGCAAGTTCGACATGCTAACCCGTTGAGCATCATGATGCCGGTTCCGTCAATGCAGTTTCCGCGGGTTCGTTGGTCAGCGGGCTATTCTCTCGGTGGGCGGTCAGAGGCATGGCGAGCCCGATGTCTCTTGCGAGTGGGTGGCTGACGTTCGTCGCTGCCTGGTGTGGCCTGGTCAGGGGAATAAGAGCGACCGCACCCGGCCTTTCCACAACGCTTGGAGAGGACCACCAGCCCCAACTTCCGTACTTTTTGGGAGGTCCGCCATCAGATCTACGGGTAGGTATAAAGTTGCGCGCAGGCAGAACTTTCTATTTTGTCGTGGGAATATTTCTCCCGCGGACCGGATCACAACGGCAATATGTTGTTACGGAGACATTTTCCGATTTGGAATCTCGAATTTTCGCCTTTTACATTCAAACCCACATGAGGCTGTAGGAGGAGTTCTGCGCACTTCGTTGGAAAAGCACACAGGCGCGCTTTGGCATTCAGTACTCGCCTCATAGACACCTGTTTGCAATCAAACCTTCGATACCGCACAGTCCATTGCTGTGAGTCTCTTCGGGCCGAGTTCGGGGAGCTGGGGTGCAGTGTGTGTTCATCATGCTTGGAAAATAGGAATTCCAATTTGGAAATGCTGGGACGATCATGCTTGGATTTCGTCATGAATTCCCAACTGGATTTGGTTGAAATTCCAAACTGGAAATGGTGAACTTTCTTTCATATCTGAGGCGTGCTCTGGCCACACTGCGCTCTAGCTGCCCAAACTTGGCTCCGAGAAGCTCAGAGTAGTGGAGTGTTCAGTCTTATCCGTTAGATGACGAACAGGGGTCTTGAGGCTAGGACCAAATGACGATGTGCCTTGGTGCGCTCTGCTTGCTATCCAGTACGCAGACCTCCTGCATTTAGGGGGTGGTTGAGCATCTTGTGTCAATTCCCCCGGTTTCAAATCGGACAACAATTCCATAGCAACTGTCCTCGCCCCCCTCGACCAGCTGCAGCCGAGTAACCAGTGGGAACTCCGTGTGCATCCCCGACTGCGTTGCGAGCTAGGATTTCGGAAACGCACTTTGGATGCAACAACCCTTTGCCTAACCTCCCCATGTCAAATGAGATGCTAGGACATGTTTCAACTCTTCCGCTTTTCTCCCCTGGTCGAAAGCTTCCTTGCCATCATTCCATGTTATTCATCCATGTTCTGTTTTGGAGAAATTGCCGACCGTTCCGATAACCACGAAGAAATAACACGGATCTCAACGAGTTTAGTCATCTCCAGCGACGTTCCGAAACAGCACCAAAGCATCGACAAAATACGAACCGAAGCATGCATTTGCCAATCCCCAGAGATCATCATCCTCTCCTTCCTCCCACCGTCTAGGACCGCGCGTCAGGCCCAGGGTCTTCCCTGGCACCTCACAGGGCCCATGGCCCCGGATTGCACTCGGCGTCCACCGGAACCCCGGCATCCTTCACAATCCGGCTCCGTGGCCGGGGCTGCGGGGGGGAGGGGGAACGCACGCACGCGAACCAGAACGCCTCGGCAGAGGACAGCCTCCCGCGGGCGATGGACGACAAGCACTTCGTGTACGTGTGGATCGCGAGCACGGACCACGTGCTTCACGCGGCGGTCGTTGACAACGGGGACGGAACGCTGACCGCCACCTATGAGAGCCCGTATCCCGGGGACTACCTCGTACACGTCCAGGACGTTTGCACAGATATGAGCGTCGTCGGAAGAGGGAAAAAACGCCCAGGGGAGAGGGCTAAGGCGATCGTGGATAGCCCGTTTAGGTTGACCATCTCTGGGGAGATAGCTGTCGACGTGGATGATCTTCCTCTGTGTGACGCCGAGCACCCTCAGGAAGATGAAGAAGACACCTTCTGGCGCACAGGATCGTGGATATCCTCAAAGTTTGCCAGCGCAAAACACGGCGTGTTACGGGACGGGTGGGTCTTCCAGCCCAAGACCTGCGTCCACGACACGTTCTCGTACGACGATCTCATGCTGTTGGCCACGGGTTCGAAAGAGCCGACTTGGCTTTTGATCCTGGGGACGTCCGTTCAGCGCGGGGTGTTCTTGACGCTCGTGGACATGGTCCTCGCCCAGGGACAAAAGAGCGACTTTGCCACCAGCGCTATCCAAAAGTGCTGGGGCTTCGCGGAGGTTCGCGTTGGGAACCTCCGCCTTACGTATCAAGTGAGTGGGGGTAGCTAACGGCAGGGTCAATCGAACTGTCACGTGGACGTTTCCTGATGTAATCGTGGTGCGTGTGAATGGCTGCATTCGTTCAGCGCGCCGTGTCCTCGGTCGAACTTGTTTTTCTGTTGGACCCTCTCGGGCAAATCACATACTCCGACACGTCCCACCAACGTCATTGACCCGCCCGACCTTTTCCCCTCTGGTTGGACTCCCTCCGGCAGGACCTACGATTACACGAGGTCGGACTAGCTCAGGACGACTCCGCCGTTTGTCACGACGACAAGCTAGCTATAAACAACGTCGCCGTTTTCGTGGCCGCAGCAAGGCGCTTCCTGAGGAGAAGTGTTTTCGCGGCAGGCAAACAGTGGCCTTCGGTGATCATGGCCCCACCGTTCATGGAAGACAGCGACGAAGCTGCAAACCTCCCAATCACGGTACGGAATCCAACTATTGGTCAGCCCGCTCCACTGTAGGACAGGAGAAGGTTGAGGTTGCATCAACTCTCATCCTGGCTGCAACACGCTATTCCATGAACCTAGTGGCGTCCATGGTACCCACCGTCGATTTCAATTACAGGTCATCATGGACGCGCTTCCTTCGGCTTGGAATGGCACGCTCCTCATGATGGAGCATATGGCCGGGTTGGTGAGTGAGATCGAGCACGAGCCGATTGCACGTGCGTTTGACGCAACCATCTGTAGGACGCCAATGCCCCTAAGCCAACACGTGCCACACTGCCGCAGTCGAGCTCATCGTCGACCTGATCCAATATCAATGGAGGGGTGTCATGCTCATGGCTCTTTGTCGTTGGGTGTGTGTCTATTTTACGCGCAGGGATTCACGTACAACTACGACAATCCCACCGCGGCAACCCTAGCCGAGGTGAACCCCACCTGGCACCTGAGCAAGTTCATCGGTGTCGACAACGGCCTCGGGCGGATTAAGAGATATCAGCAGCAGGATGCTCGTACAAAGTTCATGAGCACGTTCCCGGTGAGAAGGGTGTTCTATTCCGCAGTGTATTCACTTCTCCCGCCGTCGTGTGTGATTTTCTCTCGTGACACAATGGTGATAGGGTCCGCATAGTGGACGGCCAGTCGCCAGGAGGGGCCGAGCGCCCATCTCACCATGCGCCCTACAGTAGGGCCAAGACAAATATCTGAAAGGCACTTCACCGAGACACCGTTACCATGCTGAATTCCGAAAGGGGACGAACTCATCAAGGACGGCTGTTGTTTGGGATACCCAAGGCTACTCAAGGAGTTTGAACGATTGAAGGGGTCGCGGTGCTAATGGCTGATACCGATATACTTCTTGCGAGTATTGGTCATGTTGCGTCAGGGATAATCGTATTTATAAGAGGAGCGGGTGATTCAGAGAAACAAATATGTGTTGGAGAGCCTGGATCATTGAGATGTATTAGTAATTTATTCAATCGTTGCAAATAGATGTTGGTTGGCGACTCGCTGTCAGCTCGAACAGCTCGATGGACGATCAACCGAAACAAAACACCCAAAACTTCCGAGAAGATGAATCTGTCGCTTTTTGTAGCCGGGCATCAACAACAACAACAACAACAACAACAATGCGGGGAGCGAGTCTTAAACAAGCCCAGCCTGCGATGTATGCACACGCGCAGTGTCGCAAATTGATAAGCGCACGCTCAAGCCTATCCCGAACCCACTAGATGGAAAAATCCAGAACAGTCAAGCAAACCGCCAGCAACGGATTTTCCTTGTGGGCGTGTCGTGCTGCAGATGTATCAGTCCAGGCTGTTCGAAAACGAGTTTTCGTCTCCTGGACGAGCGTGCTACGGATGTAGCTACCACTACCACTACGTGACGAAGGAAACTGCACCAGAATCGTTCAACGGGTCCAGGATGATTCACTCCGCGGTTACCGAAATGCTGGCAAACGTGAGTTCCAACGAGGCTTAGTTTGGGCTGGTTTGGTCAAGCTTTGGGCTGGTTTGACGTTCTCCATGCTTCTCAATCCTAGCGCAAGCGCGCCGCTTTCCGTTGAACAAAAGTCACCGTACACCTTGTTGTTTTCAGGAAGACAATTGAGTACAGCAGAGGAAATCGTCGCCGACAGATGTTGTGAAAATGTGTCCCTTTTTTCAAGGTCATCTCCAAAACATTTTTTATTCACAGACACGTTCTTTGTGCGTGGATGGTGAAACGCGCGAGAGCACGCTGTTGGCTGGCGCAGGCAGTAGTTCCTTGCACCAATGTGTTTTTCCTCCCACCGATGATTGCGTCCGGGCTTGGTTGGCAGATTGTGATATCGAAAGCTGTCGGGTCGAAAGCAGCTTTGTACGAAAAGGCGACCCCCTCGACAAACACACACCGTGGTGGGGGAAACGAAATATTTGAGGTGAGAGCCAGCGCTACAAGTTAGGTCCCACCCTTCAACAAATAATGCGGTCCAGAAAGTGTGGAGACTCGATATCATCGATCCGGTGTTGGGGACCGTACCAAGACGTGCTCGTGTGCGGGGGGGGTAGTGGGGTTCTTTTTTCTTGCCACTACACAGCGCTAGTCGGCTTGGTTCCACAACACAACTTGTACGGCGGCTGCATCGACGGTGTGACGGCAGATGGCAATGCCTCAAGGCGGAGGGGCGGTTTGTTGCACATGCTCTCGCATTCCGAGTCAGAGATGCCCCAGTAGTATCGCCATATTTGGGAATATTTGTGGTAGCGTGATGCTGTGGTATCCTGATGCTGGGGGCATGTCGATGGTATACGGGCCTATGCTGTAGATATCTCAAGTGCAAGATAAAATTGGTACCAGGGTAGGGTGTTTTTGATACCCTAACGGCAGTAGGAAGAAGCAACGAACGGCGCTCCCCTCTCCTTGCATTCGATTACTGTTTGGCAGGTTTGCACAGACTGTCCCGCGAGCTTGATTCCGCATCACGTCAAGCCGGTCCCTGTGCCGGTGTGCAATGCCACCTCGGTTTTGGCTGGTGACGCGGCAGTGGGCGAAGCGTGGGGCGGCAGAGGATGCCCGCAGTGGTGCTCGAAAGAACCAGTGGATGGGGTGCTCAACTTGAAAGACGTCCGCGTGTGCAGTAGGGCACGCAAGTGACCATTTTCTTGGTCGACAGCGCTTTTTATTAAGACCCACGTACGACTTTGGCGTGGTGGAAAAGGAGGTGCCTCAGCAACGTGAGGTTGTTCCCGTACCTCTTACTTTGCACGTTCATAACGATCGATTAGGACTGCTGTGGGGGAGTGTATTTCCAGCGTTTTTTTTTTTCTGGTTGGGCGAGACGCGAGGAATTCCACTAGCTTTAATTAAGCCTAGACGATATATCTAGACTTGTACATACACACAATAGTTTGAGCTGGTGAGGGAAATACGTTGTTGGAACCAAGCACGCGGGCAGTAGGTGTTGTGTCGTTCTACCAAATACATCGTTACTGATGTGTGCATGTTTCCTTTATAGGCAGCACCCAGAGCCATGCATGGCTCTAGGCCTTTGGATGGGGCGTTCGGATTTTGGTTACCTTGCTTGTTGTATTGTGGGCGTGGTGATGGTCGGCTTTTGTGTGCAGTTCTGAGAAATGTTTTACAACAACTAACTGGGGTGAGTATTTGGCCCCCAACTCACTGGGATCCCGTGACCCATTCTCTTAGGTGGATGTCAAACCCCCTTGGGGCGGGATTGGCGAGAAGTGGCGGCAGGGGGTGGGCTATACATTGCAACGGAACTAACAGCAGTGCGATTCGATGATAGATATTCCTTGTATTTCCACACACGCACGCACATCGTGGAACCTTTCCGAGAAGGGCCAGATTGGTGTGAAGCATACAGGTATCACCGTTTTCGTGATCCCCCCACACATCGACTTTGTAGGTACGTGTCGTGTGTGGATTGGAAGGCCGGCGGAGTTGCACCCCGGCCTGGTTTGTAGAGGACAAGGATAGAATCACACCCTTTTTCTATTTTCTATCTTGATTGGTGATCGTTTGATTCTACCACGAAGTATATTATTTTATGTTGTTCGGCTTCGCGTGCCGAGCGGGAGTAATGACTTCATTCCTTGAGGACAAATTTCCATTGTTTTCTTTTTTGGATGTGTCACTGCTGGCTGGTTGGATCATCCTGTTTTGTTTCGGTTCGTCTGGGCTCAAAATCGCGTTTGTTTGCGATTATTTTTTATGGTGGCGATCTATTTTTTCGTTGATTTGTGCTCAACATCGCGCGTTTTTGCGATGATCTGTTTTGGTCCTTTTCTGGTTTTTGTTTGGTTTTGTACGCTATGGAAGTGTGTACCTTTTGCTGGTAATTGGTCTGTGACCACCGAAGTAAAGCGTCTGCGTCATTCAGTTGGACGATAGATACTGAACAGATCCAGACCGGAATAATAACAGTATCAAGTGGAAAACGACAACAAATCTATTCATCATGTGGTTTGGAGGCCCACAAGCATGCCCGCGTGTTTGAAGCTGCGAGACTGGCGGGGTTAAGCAGGGAGAATTTCACAACGAACGACATCAGTTTAGGGGAATGACAAAGTATTCAGAAATAATCCATGTTAGCCAGACCCGGGTGAAAAGTGCTACAGGCACACATCCGTGCACGCATACACCCAGCTGTTGGTAGTCCTTATATATCGACGTTCGGAAGCTACAGTAGCAGTCTGTTTGAGGCGTCGGGATGGCTGTTTGGGTTGTTGGATACAAGATCCGATCTGGAGAGTATGTGTGTGGTGTGGGCGGCATACTGTTGGGGGGGCTCTCGTGTGTGGGCGGTATACTGTTGGGGGGGCCCCTCGGGAGCCCGCGCATGTGTTCACTCCGCGTCTGTGTCTGTCTGTACTCCCTGTATTTGAACGTGTGCTGGAAATAGCACTGGTTGTGTGACAATCAAGATTTCATGTCATCTTCATCGGTCCCAGGGTAACATAGTCCCGAGACTCTATGCGTGGGAAGGCAAGGGGGCCACAAACACAGTCAGTGCAACGGTTCGCACTTCAATCATCATTCACGCATTGACCTAGTTGTTAGCGCCCTCGACCAACCCTAGACCTAGACCAAGGGTTCTCACGTGCGTTTCACTGAGCGGAGGCTAGGGTGACTACGGTCGGTGCGGTATTTGAGTGCTGTGCCCCCAAAGTGTCCATTTGGGCTGCTTCCAGTTCTAGGAGGGCCGTGGGAGGGTTAAGAAATCCCGGCTCAAAAAGGGATACAGCAGTAGGATCTCAGTCAAGAATCAATCATCATATCCTAAAACCCCCACTGACGAAAAATACGAAAAGAGCCTCGGCCAAACTAAGAGGGCCTACAAAGTGATGATGCTGTATGTTGTAGGAGTTCCGGATCTACACATTCTTAAGTATCTCTCCCGGGGAACAAAACGCTTTTTCGAAGTAGAAAAAGCGCAAATTCTGAGTACGCCAACAGAAACAAGGAGGAGGTTATAATATTGCCAACAATGGAAGGAAAGCACCGTGGCAAGGAAACAACGAAATATCAAAAGAACGGCCCGAAAAAAACTTTCCTTCTCATCATCATCACCATCAGCAGGTCTCATAGCATTATTCTGTCTCCATAACGAGCATAATTTAATTATTAATTTGGGTGAGGCCTCCTACGCCGGCTGGGGGTCCACGCCTGGTATGTCCTCCCCCGCGCGATCCGGCCACGGGTTGGGTGTCCTTCGCTCGGGGTGGCGCCTACTTCCGATAAACGGTCCAGGTACGGCAAAGACCTGCATGAACTTGACGGGCGTGGGCGGGATGGTCTCAAGAATTTCCCACCCGACTCTGCCCGCGAGGTTTCGGGACCGAAAGTCACTTAGTATCAGATATTTCGATACAATCTGCGGTTCCATGATTTGTTCCAAATCGGGAGGGATCCGTTCGATCGGAACGGATCTTAACCTGCTGGGATGAAGGGGGGAAATGTCTCGCCATTCGCGCTCCGCGGCCCGTTGCAACGCATTTTCAGCATGCTCACACTGACAATAATTTCCATCAGTGTTTTGTTTGAACCCTGATTTCCGAGATCCTAACGTCCCAAACAGGCTGGCTTGCCAACGTCGTTCTATAATACGTACGTACGGGCCCGCAGTTATACCAGACTATATATATTTCGACCTTGGCAAGCTAAATAGCCTGTTTGGGACGTTCGGATCTCAGAATCAGGGCCCAAACCAAACACTGACGGAAAATAAATGTTGTCAATGCGAGCATGATGAAATTGCTTTGTAACGAGCCGCGGAGCTCGAAGCGCGAGAGCTTTCGTGCATCCCAGCCCAAGCCGGGAAAAAAGGTTCGAAGTATCGGCCTGTTCCGACGCGATGCTGGGGCTCCAAACTTGATTTCCGGGCGACCGAATATGCGTAGTCTCTCCCCCCTTTTCGACAAGAACCACCAGAACGAACGAGCACCAATTGACGATCTGCTGGCTTCCGAATAGGAGGAAAGATAGGGTACTCTTTGCCACAACGGTTGGTGGTTCTCGTATAACATCATATGCCCGTACCAAAGGCATTTAGTTGTGCCCGACATTCGCAGGCGATACCTCACTCCAACCGCGGGAGTTCTCGAGGTAAAAGGGGGAACACAAAAGTGGTAGGTTGTTTCTGTGCCACCCTAACGTTGCTTACCGCGGTGGGGAGGCCCAACCTTCTTCGTATCGTACAAAATACCGCCTAAGTTACATAGCAAAACTGCACCGAGCAGAGTGTGATTATGCGCAAGGTTCCCGGAGCGAAGCGGCTCGTGTTCAAAAGTCACGGGCCGGGTAGCGGAAAGTATTAATCCTACGGCAACGATTGATCTTTTAGCAGCAGTGGATTTGGTTTCAGAAGAAATGAGTATTGCTCCGTCCCAACATTGTTCCATACGAAGTACCCCCAACGCGAGGAAGCGCGCCTCATGATGAGTACGTCGAAACAGCTAATAGTGCGCTACGGCAACATAGACATTCATATACGCAAGACGTTCACGTTTACCGAATACTTTCATGTTTGCAAATGCATATCCAAGAAACATGTAAAAAACAGTGGGCAGACAATAAAAAGCGACGAAAAAATTGAAAAGCTGGCAGCTTTTCCCCCAGGGTAAAGTACCCGGCGGTCAGGATGTACCAACGTCCAACACAAAAAACACCAATTCTTGCCACCTCTGCACCCGCGAATCCAATCCTGGCAAGAAGGACACCCTCGCAAGCAGTGTCGACGCCATCTCTCGCAATCTCGGCCACCAGGGGTCCTTTCCTTAATCCTTTTGGAGTCTGGAACTACGAAAAAACAACACCAGCCGTAGACACGGTGACCAATGTATATTCAGCGGATCATTCCAACAGCGATAGACGTTTCCCTTCAAGCTCCCGGTTGCTTGCCAAGCAGGCACAAAAAGGCGGCCGTTGGGGTCTCGCATCGCCGGTACGATTCTGGTTTGACTGCAGACTGAAATACTCATACAACACCGAACAACGAGGACGCAAAATGAAAAACTGGGTACGGCGCAGCTTGGTTGAGTGAACGAACAACTTGGGAAGAGTCACGACCCACCCGAACCACCGAAAGGTTAGACCTGCTGGCAGCCCCAGACAATATCCTCAGGAAAACGCAATCCTTCCCGGCCGCCAACATGCAGCGAATAATCGGGACGAGGCGTGACCTTGCAACAGAACAGGCCGCCACCAACAACCTGAGAATGACCAGAACGAGCCGTGAAATTGCAACAGAACAGGCCGCCAACTAACAGCAGCGAGGAATCAGAAGGAGGCGTGACTTTTGCAACCTCACAGGCCGCCGCCAACAAGCAGCACCGAGGAATCAGAAGGAGGCGTGGCCCGGGTACCGGGGGAAGGGGATGACGTCACGGATGTTCTCGATGCCCGTGGCGAACATGACCAGCCGCTCGAAACCGAGCCCGAAGCCCGCGTGCTGGATAGTGCCGTACCGCCTGAAGAATTAATTGACGCCAATAACGACAAAACGAACGCACAAATTAATACCCGTGAATGGAAGAGAATTTATTACTCCGGGCAGTGGACGGCATTCGATTGCAAGGGTCGGGATGGGATTGTTGTGGTCCACCAAATATATCGCGTTGCTGGCGCCTGGCAACACGATCTACACATGCCGGGAGCGCCTCACGGACTCTATGTTTACTGCAACCCATGCTACACCCGACAGTAGCATCATAATGGTCCAGGAGAACATCAACAACAGAAAAAATGTCCGAACAACATCTTGTGTATGGGCCTACTATTGACCAAAAAGCTCACTTCTTCCGTTACTCCCGACAGCTGTTGACACCAAAGGACAACATCACAGGCTCCACTTCAACAGCCATAAAGATACTTGGGGGCAAAAAATCGACAAGCAAAAACCTCACGTGTTCTTCCCTTGGTCCCTCCCCAGCAAAACGGCAGAATAAAGGTCATCCATATTATAACACGCAATTGTCGCTCTTCTGTGCAGCATGCGAACACGTGTTCGCAACCTTGCTGTCATGAGCCACAAAGCATACATACACCCACACCGGACCTTGCTGTCATGAGCCACAAAGCATACATACACCCACACCGGGTCATCTAAAAAACAGTCTTCGCGAGCATCTTGTCCCACAGCATACCTGAGGTCGAGGTACCACGAGATGGAGTCTTCTGGGAGGTTCATCTCCTTCGCACGCTTCGTCAGCTTGCCCAGGTCTTCTTCTCGCTGGGATCCGCCGATGATCTCACCTGGAGATGATTGGAGATACGAAAAGCAGCAAACGGCGTGTTGAGCGGCGCAGATTGGGGGGGTGGGGATCTGCAGTGAGTACGGGGGGGAAGTTGTTGCATGCTTTTGCCCATCGATCACTCGTTGCTGTGTGTACAGGCGACCGGTCGCTGCACTTCCCTCGGCAACTCTGTTCCAGATCTATCGAATGCTTCCTGAATGGCCTTACAAGTGCTCCGGCCACTGGTAGGCAATATCAAGCTTCCTGCTCAGTGACCTGAAGCACTCCCAAGAGTGCGCCTTGCCGTGGTGCACGGTCTCTTACGTAAACTTACGAAAATTCTTACGCAAAACTACGAATAACGAAACACCATGTTCGTGCCTTGGGAACCTTTCGAGGTAGGATTCGAACCCCTCGGCCACCGAGACATCCGACAATCAGCATGATTTCCACAAAAAACAGTCTCAAATTTCAACCTCTCGCGTGTTGGGCAGGATGAAACAGACAGGCTTCCGACTAAAAAAATATTTCGGTGTCTCACCGATTTTGATCACAAGGATATCCACATGCGACAATCAGCATGCTTTCCACAAGATTCATTCATAATAAATTTCAAGAAAACAAACGAGTGCCAGTCACGTGATGGGCAGAAACAAAGACGGATGCAGACGTATGCTTCCAACCCACAAATTATTGCGAGATTCTCACCAATTTTGGGCACAAGGATGCCCACATGCGACAATCAGCATGCTTTCCACGAGGAGATTGTGCATCATAATTGCAAGGAAACAAAGGCGTGGCCTTCACGTGATGGGGCAGAAACAACAATCGTGCTTCCGACGCACAAACAATTGTTTCGATATTCTCACCGATCTTGGGCACGAGGATGTCCATGGCAGCCACAGTCTTCCCGTCCGGGTTGAGCTTCATGTAGAAAGCCTTGATGTCCTTCGGGTAGTCGGTCACGATGCACGGTGCGTTGTACACCTTCGGCCGAATACGTTCACACCACAATATCAGGACAACAAAATCGTACATAGAGTCAGATAACACACACATCAAAGTAGGACAACAACCATTGTAGGGTCAGATATAACACGGCTGGCAGAGTATATTCACCTGTTTCGACAGGCCTCGGTAGCATCCAAGTACCGAGGAGGTACATGAAGAGCTCAGCGGTGGCGACAGCGTTGGGTGAGGGCCAGTCCATAGTTCATAGCACGACAGCAACGATAGAGGGAGGCCCTCACATGCAACCCCCCCAAACCTTCAGCCGCAGGCCTGCAACGGCAACACCATCGACAAGGAACACTAGCGAGGCCACAGTATAACTTCGTAGTACCATGTTGTATTCTAGTACTTGCCTTTTCCGCCACGTAGCGTTCGTGCTCCGAGCCCAGGTCATCTCCCCACTCGGGTATGACACTGAACTCCACCTGAGGCCCCGTTGACACACAACCCAAATAACGAGAACGGGAGGGGGGGGGGAGACGTGGAATTAGTACAGACGCTACTCGAGAAGAATGGCAATGCATCACCCTTGGTCTGCGCCTCGACAACCGAGCGAAAGAGAGGGTCAACATTCCGCATTTTCTTTCCGTTCGCAACAGGCGGCGGAGAATTTGATGGCTCGGTAGCACAACCAACGGTGGATCTGCGCCGGCAACATCGACAAGTCTGGCAGATCCTGTTGTCCCCGTGGCCTCTCTTCGAACAAAAGCACACACAACACAATTAAACCATGGAACAACCTCGGGGAAATCGTTCCCTCCAAGAACACCCATGAAAATAACCGTGAAAGCAGCATCCCAATACGGTTGTACTAATACGCGGTACGGCACTGACCTTGCCCTCCTTGGCGTCCTTTCGCACGAGGTCCACCAGCTCGGTGTACGTCATCCTGACGAAATCGTTCTGCAGCACGTTCTTGAGTCGTTCTCTTAGGCCGGGCTCTCCCCCCGGACACGTCTCGAAGAACTCTAGGTCCCCCTGCATGCACACATCACACAGACATATACCGGGAGTGCGTCTGTCAATAGATTCTTCTTCGGTAACCCCCCTTGCAGTCCTCCCTCTTGCTGCTACGGCGGGGTACAAGGATGCTTTGATGCTCTAGTCCGGGCCCCTCCCTCCGTGTAGGGTAAGCGTCAGGCCAAGAATACAACCAAGTCAATTTCGGCGTTGATATGTCTCTCGCTTAGGGTGCGAAAAACACGGCAAACGAGACAACACGCAAGTTCTTGCTCTGGCGTTGAGAGGTCTCTTCGTGGAACATGTACGTATGGCAAACGAGCACACCATCACGTCTACTCCCGGTTTCAGTATGGGTTCCCCAAGTGTATAGGTTTTAGTATGGGTGATCCCTTTGTACTGGTTTTAGTATCGGTTTAGCGTTGAGATGCCTTCTTGGAGTCTTGGAGAAAAATCAAGGCAAGTGCGTCTACTTGGCGTCGATATGCATCCTCGTTGGGAAATTTGAAAGAAATTTGGGCAAGGGAGCACACATCCAAACAATCACAAACGCTGTAGGGTTGAGGTGCAGGAAATGTAGGGCAAGCGAGCATACCATCACGCCTACTCTGGCGTTGAGATCCATTCGTAGGAAAATTAGGGTAAGCGAACACGATCACGTCTACATTGGCATTGAGATACCTCGGTGCGAGATTAGGGCAAGCAAGCGCAAAGTCAAGTCTACTCGGCATCCAGATTCCTCCGTACGAACTTCAGAGCACGCGAGCATACAATCTCAAGTCTACTCTGGTGTTGAGACCCCTTCTTGTAGGAAGGAAATGTCAACGGCAAGCGAAAATGAACTCAAGTCTAGCGCTGTGGAGCTTCATCGTGGGATCAGAAAAACTTTCACAGCACCTGGCAGTGTCCGAGCGCGTAGGCCACGAGGTACTTGAGGTAGTCCTCCGCCAGATCCATGTCGTCCTTCAGATCAGCGAAGGCCACCTTTTAGAGTTGAAAAGGACGAAAGCAGAAACGATGAAAAACAAAATGAAGATACGTCGGCACACAAATCACAACGAGCTCAAAAACAGAAGAATCCGTTTCACAAGCAAAACCGAAAATAGAAATGGCCACAAAGAGATAAGATTAATCAAATACGCAACCAAAGCAGCCAAAGCATGCCATGCGTCCAACAAAAACGATCAAGAGGCCGAATGTCACGGGCGGACGGCCATCAGCAGCCAACACACCCACCACACCGTAACGCCGTAGCAAACAGCAGCCTACCTCGGGCTCGATCATCCAGAACTCGGCCAAGTGCCTGGAGGTGTGGCTGTTCTCCGCTCGGAAAGTTGGTCCGAACGTGTAAACGTCCCCCAGGGAACACGCATGGGTCTCTACGTTGAGCTGTCCCGACACCGTCAGGCACGTACGCCGAGCGAAAAAGTCCTGCGAAAAGGGGGGGTAAACATGGGAGGGAGATGGAGATGAGCGGCGTGCGTGATTGTGGGGCGTGGCAAAGAAGCAGTGTAGGTATGGGGGGGGGGAGGGGGGTGAGCCAAGTTGGGTAGAGCCTTGGGCGATTCTGAGGGCGTGACTCGAGTATCGTATCAAGTATGGCACAAACCTCGAATGCATGGGGGGTGTCACGACGCTCTAAGGCATGGCCCGACGCTTGTTCCAAGAAACGGTTGCCGTTGCAATGGTTTCAACCGCAAGGATACAACAGTCTCCTTGCTAACCTCTCTGTCTGTCTGTCCGTTTGTCTGTCTCCATCCCCCCTCTCTCTGTATGTGTGTCTCTCTCTGCCTCGGCATGTGGCGTAGGATCTCTCCCCCCCCCCCCATTCCCTGTCTCTCTGTCTCGGCGTGCAGCGTAACATCCCTCCCCGTTCCACAAACCCAGCGACAACAAGGTCGAGTCACTACTTCACCTTCGAGTAATCCACCGCCCCCGCCGGAGTCATCGGAGGACCTCCGCCCGCCGCCGCCGCATGCCCGTTGCCCTCCTCGCCACCAGCGTCGGGCAAAAGCGTAGACACTGCGAACTGCTCACCCGCCCCCTCGCAATCGGCCCCGGTTACGATCGGCGTGTGGATGTAGAGAAAGCCTCTGTCGTTGAAGAACTTGTGGGTGGCGAAGGCCATGGCGTGGCGCACGCGCATGGCTGCCGAGTGCATCTGGTTGGGGTTGGAAAAAAGGTCGGTTTAGACATGTAAAATTGTTGAGTGTATTGCTAGAAGTTGTTCGTTTCGAATAACTGGACAATGATGATGTCATTAGAACCGAGTAAGACAATGCTCAGAGAGAAGAGAGAAGAGAAAGGTCTACGTCGTACCATAACCGCGTCCATCTTACCCCCCCCCCCCCCCCCAAAAAAAAACGTACCACGGCCGAACCAAGCGCTTTGGCAGCAAACGGTAAAAGATTGAATGGAACCCTTTTTAACTCTTTATGGGGACGTTCTGCGGACTTTTTCCCCTTAAATACTATTCAGCGCTGCTGCTGCTGCTACTCCCTCCCTTCATGGCTATTAAAAAACAAATCCAAACCCCCCAAAAAAAATCCAAAGTAAACAACGCTGATTTTCCGTAATAAAAAACAAAACAACGAAAACATCCTTTTCCAATTTCCTTTCCTTTA